GGGCTAGTAACCCCTTCTCCTGTATATATTACTAAATGTAAAAGGAGAAGCTTTCGTTTCTCCTTTTGGGCCACCCTGCCTCGGTGGGATACTGCCGGTGTGTTGAAAGAAAGAAAGATATCCTATTAGTGTCACTTGACCTGAGATCCGAGTAGTGACCTTAGAAAGGCGTTGTGACCTTGGTCAGTCAGTATCTAATGGCTGTGTTCTCTGCTAGTCTGCGTGTGCGCCTTCACATCACTCTCACTTCCCCATGTTTACTGAACCTTTAACTAATGTTTTCACACACACAGACACACACACACACACACACGAGAGAAAGAGAGAGAGAGAGAGAGAGAGAGAGGAGAGAGAGGAGAGAGAGAGGAGAGAGAGAGAGAGAGAGGAGAGAGAGAGAGACAGACAGACAGACAGACAGACAGACAGATAGACAGACAGACAGACAGACAGACAGAAAGAAAGAGAGACAGAGACAGAGACAAAGAGACAGAGGCAATGAGACAGAGACAAAGAGAAAATAAAAACTGATTTGCTAGTAAGGGCTTTTTAACGTTAAGTAGAGAACGTGTGAGGCAGTTTGAGAATGACGTGACAACTACACAGTTACAGCAGGTGGAAGACGGCAGAAAACCCAGGTAGTAACACTGAAGGAAGGGGGAAAGCTTAGAAGCAGCGATAAAGAAGTCTGCCCGAAACTAAACAGGAGATTTAGTCTCAGTGTGAACAGTGAGAATAGCTGAATGTCAAATAAAGTGTATGCCAGCAGGTCCCGGCAGCCATACACATAACAGGGATATCTTGAGGAAAATTCTGAGTGAGTTAGATACCTGAATGTCTGGCCATGGTTTCTGAGAGAAGGAGCTGAAGCACTCTGTGAACCATTAGTTAAGATTAACAAGTAAATGTTTGTCCATGAGTTCTGATAGAAGGAACACAAGCGCAGTGTGAACCACTAGCCAAGATCAACAACAAGTCAATATATGGAAGACAGTTGCCAGAGATCTGTAAGACAGTGAAACTAGTCGCAATATTTAAAAATGGAGACAGTCAGGAAGCAGTATATATATATATATATATATATATATTATATATATATATATATATATATATATAAAATATATATATATATATATATATTATATATAATATATATATATATATATATATATATATATATATATATATGTCGTGCCGAATATGTAAAACTGGTCAATTAGCAAGAACTCATTTAAAATTAAGTCCTTTCTGAAATTTTCTCTTATATGTTTAAAGATATATTTTTTTCATTAATTTTAAATGTAAAATTTTTTAATTTTGCACGAAAAGAATCTTTGAAAACTTACCTAACCTTATTATAACAAGAGCAATTTATTTTAGCCTAACCCAACTAAATATATTTTAAATACGTTTACAGTAATTTAATACTAAACAAACACAATCAAATATATTTTTTTCGTTAGGTTCAGAATGATTTTGGCGAAATTATGGCCCTACACAAATTTTCACTTGTCCTATATGGCAAGATGAGCGTTGCTATTAAAGCCAAGATCGCAAGTTCTGCCTATTCGGCACGATATTATATATAATATATATAAAATATATATAATATATATATATATATATATATATAAAATATATATATATATATAATATATATATATAAAAATACCAAGCTAGGTGATGTAGATGATAGTGAGAAGAGTGGTAGATCACTGCCATATATACTATGCAAGGTAGCGATTCAATGCTTGTAGCACCTGCCCGTGAATAAAGTCAGGAATGTCGCGAGCAACAGGGCAAGACAAGACAAGGGCAATACTTGGGCAAAACAAGGAAGGGACAAGACAAGGGCAATACAAAGGCAAGACAAGGACAAGAGAAACACAGCAGGGGTAGATACTTCTTCCCCCATACATTCCTTCACCATTTATTTGCAATATTTTCAACGGCAAGACACTGAATTAGCAGTATGATGACGATACAACTAAGAGGCACTCAGAGTAAGGAGTGGTTTCAACCAGAATAGGTGAGTGTCTGCCTCCCAGCCGGTCAGACCGGTTTGACGTCACCTTGGCTGCTCTCACCTAATTGGTGGGATGAGCTGGACAATAAATACAGCAGAGTGGCCCCTGAACTGCTGTACGACAGTGGGACCCTAGAACTGCTATACAAGAGTGTGGTCCCAGGTGAGAGAGAGAGAGAGAGAGAGAGAGGGAGAGAGAGAGGGAGGGAGGGGGGTGGACTATATTTTCCTAGACTATATGATGGTATTTGATACTGTAACTCACAAGAGAATGAGAAAAAAAATTGAGGTGCTGGCAGCAATAACAGGGAAGATTCTCTAGGGTTGGAACAGTGATTGTATGAAGTGACAAGATGGTACACTGGTACAAGTGTGTGTGTGTGTGTGTGTGTGTGTGTGTGTGTGTGTGTGTGTGTGTGTGTGTGTGTGTGTGTGTGTGTGTGTGTGTGTGTGTGTGTGTAGTAGTAGTCACGTTAACCACATTTCTATAATAATGAAGTTAATAATTTGCAGATTATACAGCTGCAGTATAATTATAGACAGATGGACATGAAGTCTAGTCGTGGTTCTTACCAACACTAGAAATGAAATATACGAAGCAAAAAATGCATAACGAAATTCATAATAACGAAGTGTATTGGACATAATAATAATAATAATAATAATAATAATAATAATAATAATAATAATCATAATCATAATAATAATAATAATAATAATAATAATAATAATAATAATAATAATAATAATAATAATAATAATTATAATAATAATAATCATAATAATAATAATAATAATAATAATAATAATATAAATAGAAATAATAATGAATAACCAAAGAAAATGTAATGAACACTTTTTGATGCTCTGTTAATAATAACCCACATGGACACAGAAACTCAAAAATTAATTGCTCTATACATTTCGACCCCCTGCTGGGGTCCTCTTCAGCAGATACAACAATAAAAATAGAACCTGAATATACTGGACTGTTGCACCCCACGATAGTGCAGGTGAGCGTGGAGCGTCAGGTCAGCGCGTGGGAAGACAGGTCACGGAGCAAGTTTAATGGGTGACTTGCAGAGAGCTTAAAATCTGGGCAAAAATTCATCTGTGTTTGTACTGGAATTCTGTACTAGGTTGGGTGCTGGAATGTACTTCTTAAGGGTGAATTTTGATATGATGTCTGGTTTTCATTGTTCCTGTGAGATGTTGAGATAAGAGGTAACTATGAGGGCAGATTCTATGATTTTGTATTTGTAGCTGCAATGTGATTTGTGATGGATGGTGGCAGCTTTCCAATGAATGTAGTGATTGTTGTTGCTAATATGTTGACAAATTAATGAATTCTCCTGTGCATAACGTATTAAAATAGTCGATAGCGTTCAACCTGTCTACCCAGTGTATATTTGGTTACAGTCCTTGCATGGTATCTGATAGACTCCTGGTGTGTCTTGTGTCACCGAGTGTGTGTGTGTGTCTTGTGTCACTGAGTGTGTGTGTGTCTTGTGTCACCGAGTGTGTGTGTGTCTTGTGTCACCGAGTGTGTGTGTGTTTTTGTGTCACCGAGTGTGTGTGTGTGTCTTGTGTCACCGAGTGTGTGTGTGTCTTGTGTCACCGAGTGTGTGTGTGTGTCTTGTGTCACCGAGTGTGTGTGTGTCTTGTGTCACCGAGTGTGTGTGTTTCTTGTGTCACCGAGTGTGTGTGTGTCTTGTGTCACCGAGTGTGTGTGTTTCTTGTGTCACCGAGTGTGTGTGTGTCTTGTGTCACCGAGTGTGTGTGTTTCTTGTGTCACCGAGTGTGTGTGTTTCTTGTGTCACGAGTGTGTGTGTTTCTTGTGTCACGAGTGTGTGTGTGTCTTGTGTCACCGAGTGTGTGTGTTTCTTGTGTTCACCGAGTTGTGTGTGTTCTTGTGTCACCGAGTGTGTGTGTTCTTGTGTCACCGAGTGTGTGTGTCTCTTGTGTCACGAGTGTGTTGTGTTTCTTGTGTCACGAGTGTGTGTGTTTGTGTCACCCGAGTGTGTGTGTTTCTTGTGTCACCGAGTGTGTGTGTGTGTGTATATACACACACACACACATTTATATATATATATATATATATATATATATATATTATATATATATATATATATATATATATTTATATATATATATAAATATATATTGGAATGAGTTTGATTAATAAGCATGATAGTCTGTTGGACTGATGGCCTCTGAGGTGATTATTATCCTCAAATATCATTTCTCACTGTGTCTCTTGCTTGCAAAACTTGCTTTGTTTATAAACTGTACAAATACTTGCATGCTGTTTGGTGAAGGGGGTAAAGGAGGTTTTGTGTAAAAGGGGCTTTGACTTCTAGCAAACATGCGTGAGCGTATTAAATAGGAGCGAATGGAGACAAATGTTTTTTAGAACTTGACGTGCTGTTGGAGTGTGAGCAAGGTAACATTTATGAAGGAATTCAGGGAAACCGGCAGGCTGGACTTGAGTCCTGGAGATGGGAAGTACAGTGTCTGCACTCTGAAGGAGGGGTGTTAATGTTGCAGTTTTATAACTGTAGTGTAAGTGCACCTCTGGCAAGACAGTGATGGAGTGAATGATGATGAAAGTTTTTCTTTTTCTGGACACCCTACCTTGGTGGGAAACGGCCTATGTCTTAATAAAAAAAGTAATTTACTCACTGCTGGCTTTTGTTCGTTCCTCGTTTCACCCTTAGTTATGCTACAACCAGGTGTGCAGGCCACTAGCCTACATCTGTGCTCGTCATACTCTAACTTACTCTTAACATACTGTTAACTCCTGCTGCCTAGCATAGGCAGTACCTATACTACACACTGCCTATGCATAGACTCTTCACATTCGTTTACAATAGGCGTGATACATGGTGTTTTATTAAGATTATGTGATACTTGGTATGTTATTAGTATGTGATACATGGTGTGTTATTAATGTTATGTGTTACATGGTGTGTTACAGTGTGTGGTGGTGATGGATGGCCTGACGTGTGGTTTAGTCAACCCAGACGACAAAGATGCGGGGCCCAAGAACTTCACCTTCGACGGAGCTTACTTCATTGACTCTACCACTGAAGGCATCTACAACGACGTGGCTTTCCCACTGGTAGAGGTTAGTACTGCTTGTGCGGTTTAAGGGGTGTTTTTGTGGTGTTTGTGGATGTTTGGGGATGTTTCTGGGTGTTTGTGAATATTTAGTGCTGTTTGTGGGTGTGTGGGGGTGTTTCGGGGTGTTTAGAGGTGTTTTTGGGTGTTTGTAGTGTTGGGGTGTTTGTTGGTGTTTGTAGATGTTTGTGTGTGTGTGTGAGTATGTGTGTGTGTGTGAGTATGTGTGAGTATGTGTGTGTGTGTGTGTGTGTGTGTGTGTGTGTGTGTGTGTGTGTGTGTGTGTGTGTGTGTGTGTGTGTGTGATGAGAGATATTTTAACAGTGATTGTTCCAGTCATTTTTCCATCATTGTTCCAGCCATTGTTCTATCATTGTTCCAGTCAATGTTCCATCACTGTCCCACTCTTATTGATCCCCTCCCTCTAGCATCATAACAGTCATAATAGTCTGTCAGCGAGTATTCTAGTCCAGTTACCACGTAAATCATGTGGCTTCTAAATAACACTTTTTGGATCGCAACTGAATAAATACAAACCAACCAAATAAAAGTTGACATCTTTAGTAACAAAAGTGTCTAGGTGATAATATTGCAGTTTGAATAATTAAGGAGATAAGCTTCTTCACAAATCTTGGTATACCTATGTATCACAGTTATTCTTTACATATAATCTTATGGTGCTGTGGAGATGTACTCATAAGTGCGATAGTAACTGTGTGTAATTGTGTATGTTTGTGTAAGTGCTCAGCATGTGCTCAGTGTAGGCTCAGTAAGAATCGACGCGACTTAGGATGTGACTGACAATAGCAAGTCCCTAAATAAGCTAACTTCTGGACCTTCTAGTCAGTCAAACAGCTTGCTCGAGCAATATCACGACTCTTTCACCTAACAGCAATAATGCTTAAAACAGTATTGAATGGCACAGCATCAAGCAAGGAATCAAGGAGAATGAAAACGACCCCAACTGCAGACCTTCAACAGATCCTACACGAAAGGCATAAAACTTCCTTATTACTGAAACTGAATTCAGCGATGCTGATTTCCCGACTACGATAGTGCGGAGATGACAGAATAATGTAGGTCGAGAGATAAACTAGGGACCAGAAATATCGAGTGTCTCCACGAGACAGCCTCTGAAAACGTCAAATATTACTAAGTCGAAATAATGCTATGTGAACAGAGTTGCACAGAATTTCGAGAGGTATGTTCCGGCTCACTATCGGAGACATTACCAAAAACATAGTCTAAACAACACGAGCTGACAGAACAGAGATAGGTGATGTTTCCTCTACTATCAGCAAGGAAAGGGAAAAGGAGAGAAAGAGAGAGAAAAGGAGAGAAAAAGGGGAGAGAGAGAGAGGAGGAGAAAAAAGAAGAGAGAGAGAGAGAGAAAAGAGAGAGAGAGAGAGAGAGAGAGAGAGAGAGAGAGAAGAGAGAGGGGAGAGAAAAGAGAGGAAAAAAGAGAGAGAGAAAGGGAAAAATAGAGAGAGACAGAGAGAGAGGAAGAGAGAGAGAAGAAAAGAGGAGAGGAGAAAAAGAGAGAGAGAGAGAGAAGAGAGAGAGAGGAGAGAGAGAGAGAGAGAGGAGAAAAGAGAGGGGAAAAGAGAGAGGAAAAGAGGAAAGAGAGAGAGAGAGAAAAGAAAAGAGACAAGGGGAGAGAAAGGGGAAAAGAGAGAGACAGAGAGAGAGAGAAAGAGAGAAAAAAGAGAGGAGAGAGAGGGGAAAAGAGAGAAAGAGAGAGAGAGAGAAGAGAGAGAGAGAAGAGAGAGGAGGGAAAAGGGGAGAGAGAAAAAGGGGAGAAAGAGAGAGAGAAAGAGAGAGAGAGGAAAAAGAAAAGAAGAGAGAGAGAAGAGAGGAGAGAGAGAGGAAGAGAGAGAGAGAAAAGGGGAGAGAGAGAAGAGAGAGGAGGGGGGGAGAGAACAGGGGAGAGAAAAGGGGAAAAGAGAGAGAGAGAGAGAGAGAAGAGAGAAAGAGAGAGAAGAGAGAAGAGAGAGAGACGGAGAGAGAGAAGGAGGAGAGACAGAGAGGAGAAGGGGGAGAAAAAGAGGAGAGAGAGAGAGGAGAGAGAGAGAGAGAGAGAGAGAGAGAAAAGAGAGAGAGAGAGAGAAGAGACAGAGAGAGAGGGACAGAGAGAGAGGGGACAGGAGAGAGACAAAAGCGAGAGAGAGGGATGGAGAGAGGAGAGAGAGAGAGAGATGAGGAGAGAGAAGAGAGAGAGAGAGAGAGAGAGAGGAAAAGAAGAGGAAGGGGAGAGAGGAAAGAGAGAGAGAGAAGAGAGAGAGGAAGAGAAGAGAAGAGAGAGAGGGAAAGAGAGAGGAAGGAGAGAGAGAAAAGGGGAGAGAAAAAGAAGAGAGAAAAGAGAGAGAGAGGAGAAAAGAGAGAGAGAGGAGAGGAGAAGGGAGAGAGAGAAAAAGGGGGGGGAGAGCCAGAGAATGGGCGGAACCGAGAAGAAAGAAAGAGAGAGAGGAGAGAGGAGGGGAAAAAGGAAAGAGAGAGAGAGAAGGAAGAGAGAGAGACCGGAGAGAGAAAAAAGAGAGGGGCAAAAGGGAGGGGGGGGGGGGGGTGGGGAGAGAGGGAGAGAAAGAGAAAGAGAGAGAGGGAGAGAGAGAGAGGAGGAGAGGAGGGGAGAGAAGAGAAGAGAAGGGGAAGAAGAGAAGAGAGAGGAAGGAGAGAGAGAGGGCGGAAAAGAGCGAGGAAAAGAGAAGGGGAAGAGAGAGAGAGAATAGGAGACAGAGAGAGAGAAGAGAGAGAAAAAGAGAGAGAAGAGAGAGAGAGAGAGAGGAGAAGAGAAGGGGGAAGAGAGAGAGGGGGGAGGAGAGAGGAAAAGAGAAGAGAGAGAGTGAGTGAGAAAAGAGAGAGAGGAGAAAAGAAAAGGGAGGAAAAGAGAGAGAAGAGAAGAAGAGAAGAGAGAGAGAAGAGAGAGAGAAGAGAGAGAGACAGAGAGAGAGAGAGGAGAAGAGAGAGGAGAGAGGAAGAGAGAGAGAAGAGAGGAAGAAAGAAATCCCCCAAAAGAAGCAGAGATGACAAGGGGAAAAAAAAGAGAGAAAGAGTGCCCCAAAAAACCCCAAAAGGAAACAGGGGGAAATGAAGGCAAGAACAATTTTAAACCCGAGAAAACGAAGAGAGAGAAGAGAAAGGGCGGCCCCCGAGAGTAAAGGATGGGGAAAGGGGAGGATGGGGGCCCCGGAAAAAGGGGGAAAAGGGGAAGGGGGTGAAAGGAAAAAAAACCCGAAAAAATGTTTTTTAACTTCTTCCGGCCAACCAGGGAATTACAGCATTCGCCCACTGACTCTTTACATTAATTAAAACCAAGGGGGAAATCCGCTCCTAAATAATCAACCCCTTTAGAGCTTTTCTTGGGGTTAAAGGGGAACTTTTCACCTAAAAAAAGCAAGAGTTTTTTCTGTGGACCCCTTGGTAAACTGGCCCATTTTGAAGGTTCCCTGGGAGGGGTGTTGGCCACTAAAGAAAGGAATTTTGTAAAATTTCCAAACTAACCATGAAGGGAAAAAGGTTTTAAAAATTTTTGCCCCAAAAACGGGGAGGCCCGGAACTTACCGGGGACCCCTTTTCCCCCCTATTTCCATCTGGCTTAAAATAAGGGGAAGATCATAGGGGGCACAAGTACGCTAAAATCCGAGTAAAAACCCCTTTCTGGTTTTCCTTTCCCCCCTCTCCCAATTCTCCTGCCCCCACGGGAAGGCCCAAACTTAAAAACCCCTTTTTGGCCATTGGTAGTTTTAACAGCCAAACCCTTCCCAAAAAGGTTGGGTCCCCTTTTAAAGGTAAAAAGTTTTTTCAAAAAAAACCTTGGATCCAACCTTTCAACCCGTGAAAAAAAAAAAAAAAAAAAAAAAAAAAACCCCCAAAGAGGAGAGGGAAAGAGAACCAATTGGGACCCCCCAAAAATAGAGAAAAAGGAAAAAAAGGGGAGGGGAAAAACGGGCGCAAAGAATTTAACGGTAAAGTAGTTGACAAAGAAAAATGCTGGCCCCAAAGGGGGGTAATTTCAATTTTCCCAATTTAAAAATTTTCCCTCAATAAAAATTTTAAAAAGGTATTATTAAAATCCTTTTTCCCAATTTAAATTAAACCTTTAATTAAAAAATCGGGAATAAAAGCAGGGGGCTTACCTTTGTTCAAACCTTGTAAAAAAAAAAAAAAAAAAAAAAAAAATTTTTTTTAAAAAAAAAAAAAAAAAAAGACCCCCCAAGGAGAAGGAGAGGTTAAAGGCCCAAAGGAAAGGGGTAGGAAAGGGGGAAGTTTTTAAAGGGAAGGAAAAGGGGAATGCCCCCTGGACCCACCTCAGGGGTTTCCCCGGCCCACTTGGGACCCCGCCCAAAATGTGGAAAAATGGCAGGTTTTTTGCCAATTTAACCCCCCCAATTTAAATCCCCACTTGCCCCGGGCCCCCGGTAAGGTACTTTTACCCTCCTACTTTTTTAAAAATTTAATGTCAGTTATGCCCTTTTGAAACCCCCCTTACGTTAATTTGTTAACCCCCCTTTATGGGAAATTAAAAATTTAAATTGCCCAAAAATTATTAATTTTACCCTTTATTTTTTTTTTCCTTTATTTTTATTTTTATTCATTTATTTCCCCTGTACCCTGCCTCACTGTGTACCCTGCCTCACTGTGTACCCTGCCTCACTGTGTACCCTGCCTCACTGTGTACCCTGCTCACTGTGTACCCTGCCTCACAGTGTACCCTGCCTCACTGGTACCTGCCTCACTGTGTACCCTGCCTCACTGTGTACCCTGCCTCACTGTGTACCCTGCCTCACTGTGTACCCTGCCTCACGTGTACCCTGCCTCACTGTGTACCCTGCCTCACTGTGTACCCTGCCTCACTGTGTACCCTGCCTCACTGTGTACCCTGCCTCACTGTGTACCCTGCCTCACTGTGTACCCTGCCTCACTGTGTACCCTGCCTCACTGTGTACCCTGCCTCACTGTGTACCCTGCCTCACTGTGTACCCTGCCTCACTGTGTACCCTGCTCTTCCACCATGTGTACCCTGCCTCACTGTGTACCCTGCCTCACTGTGTACCCTGCCTCACTGTGTACCCTGCCTCACTGTGTACCCTGCCTCACTGTGTACCCTGCCTCACTGTGTACCCTGCCTCACTGTGTACCCTGCCTCACTGTGTACCCTGCCTCACCATGTACCCTGCCTCACTGTGTACCCTGCCTCACTGTGTACCCTGCCTCACTGTGTACCCTGCCTCACTGTGTACCCTGCCTCACTGTGTACCCTGCCTCACCATGTACCCTGCCTCACCATGTACCCTGCCTCACTGTGTACCCTGCCTCACCATGTACCCTGCCTCACTGTGTACCCTGCCTCACTGTGTACCCTGCCTCACTGTGTACCCTGCCTCACTGTGTACCCTGCCTCACTGTGTACCCTGCCTCACTGTGTACCCTGCCTCACCCTGTGTACCTGCCTCACTGTGTACCCTGCCTCACTGTGTACCCTGCCTCACTGTGTACCCTGCCTCACTGTGTACCCTGCCTCACTGTGTACCCTGCCTCACCATGTACCCTGCCTCACTGTGTACCCTGCCTCACTGTGTACCCTGCCTCACTGTGTACCCTGCCTCACTGTGTACCCTGCCTCACTGTGTACCCTGCCTCACTGTGTACCCTGCCTCACTGTGTACCCTGCCTCACTGTGTACCCTGCCTCACTGTGTACCCTGCCTCACTGTGTACCCTGCCTCACGTGTACCCTGCCTCACTGTGTACCCTGCCTCACTGTGTACCCTGCCTCACTGTGTACCCTGCCTCACCATGTACCCTGCCTCACTGTGTACACTGCTATGTGTACCCTGCCTCACTGTACCAGCCTCACGTGTACCTGCTACTGTGTACCCTGCCTCATGTGTACCCTGCCTCACGTGTCCCTGCCTCACATGTACCCTGCCTCACTGTTACCTGCCTCACCATGTACCCTGCCCACTGTTACCTGCCTCACTGTGTACCCTGTCACTGTGTACCCTGCCTCACTGTGTACCCTGCCTCACTGTGTACCCTGCTCACTGTGTACCCTGCCTCACTGTGTCCCTGCCTCACTGTGTACCCTGCTCACTGTGTACCCTGCCTCACTGTGTACCCTGCCTCACTGTGTACCCTGCCTCACCATGTACCCTGCCTCACTGTGTACCCTGCCTCACTGTGTACCCTGCCTCACTGTGTACCCTGCCTCACTGTGTACCCTGCCTCACTGTGTACCCTGCCTCACTGTGTACCCTGCTCACTGTTGTACCCTGCCTCACTGTGTAACCCTGCCTCACTGTGTACCCTGCCTCACTGTGTACCCTGCCTCACTGTGTACCCTGCCTCACTGTGTACCCTGTCTCACTGTGTACCCTGCCTCACTGTGTACCCTGTCTCACTGTGTACCCTGCCTCACTGTGTACCCTGCCTCACTGTGTACCCTGCCTCACTGTGTACCCTGCTCACTGTGTACCCTGCCTCACTGTGTACCCTGCCTCACTGTGTACCCTGCTTCACTGTGTACCCTGCCTCACTGTGTACCCTGCCTCACTGTGTACCCTGTCTCACTGTGTACCCTGCCTCACTGTGTACCCTGCCTCACTGTGTACACTCTGCCTCACTGTGTTACCTGCCTCACTGTGTACCCTGCCTCACTGTGTACCTGCCTCACTGTGTACCCTGCCTCACTGTGTACCCTGCCTCACTGTGTACCCTGCCTCACTGTGTACCCTGCCTCACTGTGTACCCTGCCTCACTGTGTACCCTGCCTCACTGTGTACCCTGCCTCACTGTGTACCCTGCCTCACTGTGTACCCTGCCTCACCATGTACCCTGCTTCACTGTGTACCCTGCCTCACCATGTACCCTGCCTCACACATGTACCATGCTTCACCATATAACCCTGCCTCACCATGTACCCTGCCTCACCATGTACCCTGCCTCACCATGTACCCTGCCTCACTGTGTACCCTGCCTCACCATGTACCCTGCTTCACTGTGTACCCTGCCTCACCTGTATCCTGCCTCACCATGTACCATGCTTCACCATGTACCCTGCCTCACCATGTACCCTGCCTCACCATGTACCCTGCCTCACCATGTACCCTGCCTCACTGTGTACCCTGCCTCACTGTGTACCCTGCCTCACTGTGTACCCTGCCTCACTGTGTACCCTGCCTCACTGTGTACCCTGCCTCACTGTGCACCCTGCCTCACTGTGCACCCTGCCTCACTGTGTACCCTGCCTCACTGTGTACCCTGCCTCACTGTGTACCCTGCCTCACTGAGTACCCTGCCTCACTGTGTACCCTGCCTCACTGTGTACCCTGGCTCACTGTGTACCCTGCCTCACTGTGTACCCTGCCTCACTGTGTACCCTGCCTCACCATGTACCCTGCTTCACTGTGTACCCTGCCTCACCATGTACCCTGCCTCACCATGTACCCTGCCTCACCATGTACCCTGCCTCACCATGTACCCTGCCTCACTGTGTACCCTGCCTCACTGTGTACCCTGCCTCACTGTGTACCCTGCCTCACTGTGTACCCTGCCTCACTGTGTACCCTGCCTCACTGTGTACCCTGCCTCACTGTGTACCCTGCCTCACTGTGTACCCTGCCTCACTGTGTACCCTGCCTCACTGTGTACCCTGCCTCACTGTGTACCCTGCCTCACCATGTATCCTGTCTCACCATGTACCCTGCCTCACCATGTACCCTGCCTCACTGTGTACCCTGCCTCACTGTGTACCCTGCCTCACTGTGTACCCTGCCTCACTGTGTACCCTGCCTCACTGTGTACCCTGCCTCACTGTGTACCCTGCCTCACTGTGTACCCTGCCTCACTGTGTACCCTGCCTCACTGTGTACCCTGCCTCACTGTGTACCCTGCCTCACCATGTACCCTGCTTCACTGTGTACCCTGCCTCACCATGTACCCTGCCTCACCATGTACCATGCTTCACCATGTACCCTGCCTCACCATGTACCCTGCCTCACCATGTACCCTGCCTCACCATGTACCCTGCCTCACTGTGTACCCTGCCTCACTATGTACCCTGCCTCACTGTGTACCCTGCCTCACTGTGTACCCTGCCTCACTGTGTACCCTGCCTCACTGTGTACCCTGCCTCACTGTGTACCCTGCCTCACCATGTACCCTGCTTCACTGTGTACCCTGCCTCACCATGTACCCTGCCTTACCATGTACCATGCTTCACCATGTACCCTGCCTCACCATGTACCCTGCCTCACCATGTACCCTGCCTCACCATGTACCCTGCCTCACCATGTACCCTGCCTCACCATGTACCCTGCCTCACTGTGTACCCTGCCTCACTGTGTACCCTGCCTCACCATGTACCCTGCCTCACCATGTACCCTGCCTTACCATGTACCATGCTTCACCATGTACCCTGCCTCACCATGTACCCTGCCTCACCATGTACCCTGCCTCACCATGTACCCTGCCTCACCATGTACCACTGCCTCACCATGTACCCTGCCTCACCATGTACCCTGCCTCACCATGTACCCTGCCTTACATGTACCATGCTTCACCATGTACCCTGCCTCACCATGTACCCTGCCTCACCATGTACCCTGCCTCACCATGTACCCTGCCTCACCATGTACCCTGCCTCACCATGTACCCTGCCTCACCATGTACCCTGCCTCACTGTGTACCCTGCCTCACTGTGTACCCTGCCTCACTGTGTACCCTGCCTCACCATGTACCCTGCTTCACCGTATATCCTACCTCACCATGTACCCTGCCCTACAGAGTGTGCTGGAGGGGTACAACGGTACAGTGTTCGCCTATGGTCAGACTGGTTGTGGCAAGTCCTTCACCATGCAGGGGGTGATTGACCCCCCTACCCAGCGTGGCATCATACCCAGGTATGTTAATATAACCAGCGTGGCAACATACCCAGGTATGTTAAATCACACCCAGGTAAGTTAATATCATATGCAGATTATTAGGAACACAGGTAAGAATGTCCTGTGAGACCTGGTTGTAATGGGAATACAGAGTAAACAAAACTTAGTGGTAGACTGTATTGTATGTTTACCTTCACCAGATATATACAGGTATGTACAATATGTGAAGATAAAAATAATAAGCGTGCACCATGGGACCGATGGCAAAGCAGAAACCAGAGAAAGTGTATCATGCTCAACCAGCAGCTAGGCAAGTCTGCCAATGCTTACTGCAAGTGAACCACATTGCTTCAGTTTTGGCAGGCCTGCCTGTGATTGGTTAATGAACCATAGCATGACTTACCCATAGCTGGACCTACCTATAGCTGGACCTACCTATAGCCGGACTTACGTATAGCTGGACTTACCCATAACAGGAGTTACCCATAGCTGGACTTGCCCATGATGGGACTTACCCATAGCTGGACTTATGCATAGCTAGACTTACCAACAGATGGACTTACCCATACCAGGACTTACCAATATATGGACTTGCCCATAGATGGACCTACCCATAGCTAGACTTACCAATAGATGGATTTACCCATAGCAGGACTTACCCATAGCTGGAATTACCCATAGATGAACTTACAGTAGATGGACTTAACCATAGAACTTACCCATAACGGGACTTACCCATAGCTTGATTTAACCATAGCTGGACTTAATAATAGATAAACTTACCCATAGCAAGGCTTACCCATAGCAGGGCTTACCAATAGATAGACTTACCCATAGCTGGACTTCCTCATAGCAGGACTTACCCATAGCAGGACTTACCCATAGCTGGATTTACCCATTGCTGGACTTACCTATAGCAGGACTTACCCACAGTGTGACCTACCCATAACAGGACTTACCCATAGCGTGACTTAACCATAGCGTGACTTACCCATAGCAGGACTTACTCAAAGTGTGACTTACCCATAGCGTGACTTACCCATAGCGTGACTTACCCATAGCGTGACTTACCCATAGCGTGATTTACCCATAGCGTGATTTACCCATAGCAAGACTTACCCATAGCAGGGCTTACTCATAGCATGATTTATCCATAGCGTGACTTATCCATAGCGTGAGTTACCCATAGCGTGACTTACCCATAACGTGACTTACCCATAGTAGGACTTACCCATAGCAGGACTTACTCATAGCGTGACTTACCCATAGCAGGACTTACCCATAACAGGACTTACCCATAGCAGGACTTACCCATAGCGTGACTTACCCATAGCAGAACTTACCCATAGCAGGACTTACCCATAGCAGGACTTACCCATAGCAGGACTTAACCATAACGTGACTTACCCATAGCAGGACTTACCCATAGCAGGACTTACCCATAACGTGGCTTACCCATAGCAGGACTTATCCATAGCAGGACTTATCCATAGCAGGACTTACCCATAGCAGGACTTACTACACTACTCTGGGTTAACTACCGATCATCACTTCAGAACTTTCACAAAGCACCGTTCCTCTTTCCGGAACGTTCACTAACCACCTTTCCTCCCTTCAGACCCATCAATAACCGCCGTTCCTCCCACCATAACGTTCACTAACCGCCGTTCCTTCCTCTTGAACCATCTGTAATCGCCGTTCCTTCTATTGCGTTCTGTGTCCACTCTTTCTCACTTAAAAACGTTCACTAACCACCGCTGCTACCTTCAGAACGTTCACTAACCGCCGTTTCCCCCTCCACAACATTCACTAACAGCCGTTCCTCCCTACAGAACGCTCACTAACTACCGTTCGTCCCTTTAGAACGTTCACTAACCGCCGTTCCTCCCTTCATCACGTTCACTAACCACCGTTCCTACCTTCAGAACGTTCACTAACCGTCGTTCCTCGCTTCAGGGCGTTCGAGCACATCTTCGAGGTGATTCAGACTTCAGAGAACATGAAGTACCTGGTCCTGGCCTCCTACCTGGAGATTTACAACGAGGAGATCAGAGATCTCCTGGGAACGGACGTCAGTTTAAGTAAAAGACCTAAAGACACACTCCTAGTTAAAGATGTCTACGTTCAGGGTGAGTCTTTACGTTGAGGGGAAGTATTTACGTTCAGGGGGAGTGTTTACGTTCAGGGGAAGTATTCACGTTCAGGGGAAGTGTTTACGTTCAGGGGGAGTGTTTACGTTCAGGGGAAGTGTTTACGTTCAGGGGGAGTGTTTACGTTCAGGGGAAGTGTTTACGTTCAGGGGAAGTGTTTACGTTCAGGGGAAGTGTTTACGTTCAGGGGGAGTGTTTACGTTCAGGGGGAGTGTTTACGTTCAGGGGAAGAAGTGTTTACGTTCAGGGGAAGTGTTTACGTTCAGGGGGAGTGTTTACGCTCAGGGGGGAGTGTTTAACGTTCAGGGGAAGTGTTTACGTTCAGGGGAAGTGTTTACGTTCAGGGGAAGTGTTTACGTTCAGGGGAAGTGTTTACGTTCAGGGGAAGTGTTTACGTTCAGGGGGAGTGTTTACGTTCAGTTGAAGTGTTTACGTTCAGGGGAAGTGTTTACGTTCAGGGGGAGTGTTTAGGGTTTAGGGGGAGTGTTTACGTTCAGGGGAAGTGTTTACGTTCAGGGGAGTGTTTACGTTCAGGGGAAGTGTTTTACGTTCAGGGGAAGTGTTTACGTTCAGGGGAAGTGTTTACGTTCAGGGGGAAGTGTTTACGTTCAGGGGAAGTGTAGGTGTTTACGTTCGGGGGAGTGTTTACGTTCAGGGGAAGTGTTTACGTTCAGGGGGATGTGTTTACGTTCAGGGGAAGTGTTTACGTTCAGGGGAGTGTTTTACGTTCAGGGGGAGTGTTTACGTTCAGGGGGAGTGTTTTACGTTCAGGGGAAGTGTTTACGTTCAGGGGAAGTGTTTACGTTCAGGGGAAGTGTTTACGTTCAGGGGAAGTGTTTACGTTCATGGGGAGTGTTTACGTTCAGGGGGAGTGTTTACGTTCAGGGGGAGTGTTTACGTTCAGGGGGAGTGTTTACGTTCAGGGGGAGTGTTTACGTTCAGGGGGAGTGTTTACGTTCAGGGGGAGTGTTTACGTTCAGAGTGAATCCTCCAAATTCTATATCACTCTGTGTACATACAGGTAGACACTCTCCAGTAACCTCTAGTAACCTCCAGTAACCTCTAGTAACCTCTAGTAACCTCCAGTAACCTCTAGTAACCGCTAGTAACCTCCAGTAACCTCTAGTAACCTCTAGTAACCTCCAGTAACCTCTAGTAACCTCTAGTAACCTCCAGTAACCTCTAGTAACCCCCAGTAACCTCCAGTAACCTCTAGAACCCCCAGTAACCTTCAGTAACCTCTATAACCCCCAGTAACCTCTAGTAACCTCTAGTAACCTCCAGTAACCTCCAGTAATCTCTAGTAACCCCCAGTAACCTCCAGTAACCTCTAGTAACCTCCAGTAACCTCCAGTAACCTCTAGTAACCCCCAGTAACCTTCAGTAACCTCTAGTAACCTCCAATAACCTCTAGTAATCCCCAATAACCTCCAGTAACCTCTAGTAACCTCCAGTAACCTCTAGTAACCTCCAGTAACCTCCAGTAACCTCCAGTAACCTCCAGTAACCTCCAGTAACCTCTAGTAACCTCCAGTAACCTCTAGTAACCCCCAGTAACCTCCAGTAACCTCTAGTAACCTCCAGTAACCTCCAGCAACCTCCACTAACCTCCAGTAACCTCCAGTAACCTCTAGTAACCTCCAGTAACCTCCAGTAACCTCCAGTAACCTCTAGTAACCTCTAGTAACCTCCAGTAACCTCCAGTAACCTCCGGTAACCTCTAGTAACCTCCAGTAACCTCCAGTAACCTCAAGGAACCTCCAGTAACCTCTAGTAACCTCCAGTAACCTCTAGTAACCCTCAGTAACCTCCAGTAACCTCAAGTAACCTCCAGTAACCTCCAGCAACCTCCACTAACCTCCAGTAACCTCCAGTAACCTCTAGTAAGCTCCCGTAATCTCTAGTAACCTCTAGTAACCTCTAGTAACCTTTAGTAACCTCCAGTAACCTTCAGTAACCTCTAGTAACCTCCAGTAACCTCCAGTAACTTCCAATAACCTCCAGTAACCTCCAGTAACCTCCAGTAACCTCTAGTAACCTCTAGTAACCTCCAGTAACTTCCAGTAACCTCTAGTAACCTCTAGTAACATCCAGTAACCTCCAGTAACCTTCAGTAACCTCCAGTAAACTCTAGTAACCTCTAGTAACCTCCAGTAACCTCCAGTAACCTCAAGTAACCTCCAGTAACCTCTAGTAACCTACAGTAACCTCCAGTAACCTTCAGTAATCTCCGGTAACCTCCAGTAACCTCCAATAACCTCTAGTAACCTCCAGTAACGTCTATTAACCTCCAATAACCTCCAGTAACTCTAGTAACCTCCAGTAACATCCAGTAACCTCGAATAACCTCTTGTAACCTCGAGTAACGTCCAATAACCTCTAGTAACCTCCAGTAACCTCTAGTAACCTCCAGTAACCTCTAGTAACCTCCAGTAAACATCTAGTAACCTCCAATAACCACAGTAACCTCCAGTAACCTCTAAATAATCACCAGTAACCTCTAGTAACCTCCAGTAACCTCTAGTAACCTCCAGTAACCTCTAGTAACCTCCAGTAACATCTAGTAACCTCCAATAACCACCAGTAACCTCCAGTAACCTCAAATAACCACCAGTAACCTCTAGTAACCTCCAGTAACCTCCAGTAATCTCTAGTAACCTCCAGGCAGGCTCTCCCTCCAGTAACCTTTAGTAACCTCCTGGTAGACTTCCTTTCCAGTAACCTCTAGTAACCTCCACATAGACTCTCCCTCCAGTAACCTCCAGGTAGACCCTCCATCCGGTAACCTCTAAGTTGACGCAGTTATCGGGGCTGTCAGGGTTATCGTGTGATATTCAACTGGTAGTGAAGGGAGGGGAAGGTTATCGTGCGAGTTATCACTTCCTGGGAGTCAATATGTTGCAAAATTATATCTTAATGCGTTATCTTAATGAGGGAATTATCAGATCACACACACACACACACACACACACACACACACACACACACACACACACACACACACACATAAACATACACACACACACACACATACTCACATACATACACTTACACATTCACCCACACACATACTCACGTACACACATACACACACATACACACAGGAGAGATAGGGGGACATGATAACGACATACAAAATACTGAGAGGAATTGACAAGGTGGACAAAGACAGGATGTTCCAGAGATGGGACACAACAACAAGGGGACACAGTTGGAAGTTGAAGACACAGATGAATCACGGATGTTAGGAAGTATTTCTTCAGCCACAGAGTAGTCAGGAAGTGGAATAGTTTGGGAAGCGATGTAATGGAGGCAGGATCCATACATAGCTTTAAGCAGAGGTATGATAAAGCTCACGGTTCAGGGAGAGTGACCTAGTAGCGACCAGTGAAGAGGCGGGGCCAGGAGCTCAGACTCGACCCCTGCAACCTCAACTAGGTGAGTACACACACACACACACATACATACACACACACATCTATCGAAACAGGGCGACTACTTGAGGTATGAAAGACAGAAAATGTAGTCCCAATTTTTAAGAAAGGAAACAGACACGCAGCATTAAACTATAGACCAGTGTTACTGACATGTATAGAATGTAAAGTTATGGAGAAGGTCATCAGAAGAGTTGTGGAGCACCTAGAAAGGAATGAGCTTATACGCGACAACCAGCACGGTTACAGGGACGGGAAATCCTGTGTCACAGACCTACTGGAGCTTTGCGACAAGATGACGGAAGACAGGAGAGAGAGAGAGGGGTGAGTTAATTGCATTTTCTGTAAGAAGGCTTTTCACACAGTTCCATGCAAGAGATTAGTGCAGAAGCTAGAGGATCAGGCAGGAATAACAGGAAAGGTACTGCAATGAATCAGAGAATACCTGACAGGAAGACATCAGTGAGTCATGGTACGTGACGAGGTATCAGAGTGAGCTTCTGTGACGAGCGGGGTTCCACACTCTTCAGTCCTAGGACCGGTGCTGTTTCTGGTATATGTGAATGATATGACGGAAGGGATAGATTCAGAAGTGTTCTTGTTTGCAGGCTGCAAGCCAGGTCCGGCAAATGACTCCTGAAGTTTAACCTCACCAAGTGCAAAGTCACGAAGATTGGGGAAGGGCAAAGAGAAACTGCAAAGGTTTGCAACAAGACTAGTCCCGGAACTAAGGGGCATGTCATATGATTAGAGGTTAAGGGAAATCGACCTAACAACACTAGAGGACAGGAGGGATAGGGAGGAGATGATGGCAACATATGAAATACCGAGAGGAATTGACAGGGTGTATAGGGACAGGATGTTTCAGAGATGGGACACAGCAACAAGGAGTCAGCCACATTTGGAAGTTGAAGACTCTGATGAGTTACAGGGATGTTAGGAAGCATTTCTTCAGTCATAGAGTTGTCAGGAAGTGGAACAGTCTGGAGAGTGATGTAGCGGAGGCAGAATCCATACATAGATTTAAGGAGAAATGTGATAAAAGTCGTGCAGCAGGGAGAGAGTGCACCTAGTAGTTACCAGTGAAGAGGCGGGGCCAGAAGCTATGAATCGACCCATGCGACCACAATTAGGTGAGTACACACACACACACACACACACACACACACACACAAAACACACATATCCAAAGCACTCACACTGCGGTAACTGCGTATAAAAAAATGGACTTCAGAGGAGAGGATGAAGAGCCGGGGGAACCGAGGAAGATTGGTCTGGAAAGGAAGAATGGATCAAAGAGCTCAAGAGAAGGATGGAACAAGAGTGGAAAAGGAAGCTATGTGAGTTTATTACTAAAATGGAGTAGAGGATGGATGCATAGAGCAAAACGTGGAAGCTGCAAACTGAAGCTGCAGAGGCCAGGATACAGAGCTCAAAAGATGAAATGAAAATGTTGAAGCAGGATATGGAGCCAAAAAAAACAGAAGGGGCATGGCAGGAGCAGGTACAGCAATACAGTGAGTACACATAAGTGAGTATATATAGGTGAGTACACTCACACACAAATGCTCACACGCACACACAGAGCTGGGACTCGACCATTGAGGACTGAGGACTGGGAACTGAGGACTGGGAACTGAGGACTGGAGAGTGAGGACTATTTACCGTTCGTCACTGTTAAATTATTAATGTTCAACCTTTTCTGAGAGATGTAGGTCGAGTCACTGCTACCAGTGATCAATGTTCTGACCACTTGTTGCTGCTGCGGGTAAAATCAGGTACTCAGTAGGTACAATTGGGAAGACAGCAGGTACAATCAGGTACTCAGGAGGCACAATCAGGTACTCAGGAAGTACAACCAGGTACTCAGGGGGTACAATCAGGTACTCAGGAGGTACAACCAGGTACTCAGGAGGTACAATCAGGTACTCAGGAGGTACAACCAGGTACTCAGGAGGTACAATCAGGTACTCAGGAGGTACAATCAGGTACTCAGCAGGTACATCCTGGTACTCAATAAGTAACACTAACGCACTTGAGTTGTAGAACTAACACATAGGTGTTATAACACTAACACACAAGTGTCTGTCTACCTGGAGATTGTTTCGTGGGTCAACGCCCCAGCGGCCCTGTCCATGGCCAGGCCTTGCAGTGGATCAGAGCTTGATCAACCTGTCTGTTATTACTGATTTCACACAATCCAGTGTACGAACCGCAGCCCGGCTGGTCAGTTACTGACTTTAGGTATCTGTCCAGCTCCCTTTTGAAGACAGCTAGGGGACTTGAAGACAGCCACGGGTCTTGAAGACAACCAGGGGTCTCGAAGACAGCCACGGGTCTTGATGACACCCACGGGCCTTGAAGACAGCCACGGGTCTTGATGACACCCACGGGTCTTGAAGACAGCCACGGGTCTTGAAGACGGCCAGGGATCTAATAGTAATCCTGCTTATACTTAAGTGGGATTAGTTGAACAATCTCGCGCCTCTGCTTGTCACCCGCACCGTTTGTCCAGTCTTTTGCTTTCAGAGGGAGTGATTCCTGTGTGCAGATTTGGAACTAGTCCCTCTAGAATTTTCCACGTGTAACACCAACACACAGGTGTTGTAACACTAACAAACAGGTGCTGTAAAACCAACACACACAAGTATTGTAACACTTATACGGGTGTTGTAACAATAACGCACAGATGTTGTAACACTAACACAGGTGTTGTAACACACACGATGTGCCTTAAAATTGTTGTTACAGGTTACTAACTGGCTTTTCTTCTCTTCCTGTTACTGATGCTGCTGCTTCTGCTACTGCTGGTGCTACTACTGCTGCTGGTGCTGGTGCTACTGCTTCCGGTGCTTCTGCTACTGTTGCTTCTGATGCTACTGGGGCTACTGCTGCTGTTATTGCTGCTGTTGGTACTGCTCTCCTGCTTGTGCTGCTACTGCTGTTGCTGGAGTTGCTGCTACTGGTGTAGGTCTGTCCCAACATCCGGTCCACAACACTGCTGAGTGCGAGGAGTTGATGGAGCGAGGATGGAAGAACCGGTCCACTGGTGCCACTCTGATGAACGCTGACTCCTCCAGATCTCACTCCATCTTCACCATCACGCTGGAGATGATGGAGGTGTCTGGGGACTCGGACTCCATCAGGAGTGGCAAGCTCAACCTGGTGGACCTGGCAGGCTCAGAAAGGCAGGCCAAGACAGGTCAGTACCTCTTTCTCTCTCTCTCTCTCTCTCTCTCTCTCTCTCTCTCTCTCTCTCTCTCAAATACTACTACTACTACTACTAATAATAATAATAATGATAATAATAACGTCTACAGGAGCCACGGGTGATCGTCTTAAGGAAGCTACTAAGATCAACTTGTCACTGAGTGCTCTGGGCAACGTTATCTCAGCTCTGGTGGATGGCAAGAGTAAACACATACCTTACAGAGACTCCAAACTCACCAGACTACTGCAGGTGAGTACTAAGACTACTGTAGGTGGGTACTAGGGCTACTGCAGGTAGCCATTATGTCTGCTGTAGGTGGGTACTAGAACTACTGTAGGTGGGTACTAGGACTACTGCAGGTGGGCACTAGGACTACTGCAGGTGGGTACTAGGACTACTGCAGGTGGGCACTAGGACTACTGCAGGTGGGTACTAGGACTACTGCAGGTGGGCATTATGATTACCGCAGGTGGGCAGTATGACTACTGCAGGTGGGTACTAAGACTACTGCTGGTGGGCACTGAAACTCATTCAGATGGGCACTAAGATATTCAGGTGGGTACTAAGACTACTGCAGGTGAGCACCATGACTTCTGCAGGTGGGCACCATGACTACTACAGGTGGGAACTAAGGCTACTGCAGGTGGGCGCCATGACTACTACAGGTGGGAACTAAGGCTACTGCAGGTGGGCGCCATGACTACTACAGGTGGGAACTAAGGCTACTGCAGGTGGGCGCCATGACTACTACAGGTGGGAACTAAGGCTACTGCAGGTGGGCGCCATGACTACTACAGGTGGGAACTAAGGCATACTGCAGGTGGGCGCCATGACTACTACAGGTGGGAACTAAGGCTACGCAGGTGGGCGCCATGACTACTACAGGTGGGAACTAAGGCTACTGCAGGTGGGGAGCCATGACTACTACGGGTTGGGAACTAAGGCTACTGCAGGTGGGCGCCATGACTACTACAGGTGGGAACTAAGGCTACTGCAGGTGGGCGCCATGACTACTACAGGTGGGAACTAAGGCTACTGCAGGTGGGCGCCATGACTACTACAGGGGGAAACTAAGGCTACTGCAGGTGGGCGCCATGACTACTACAGGGGGAAACTAAGGCTACTGCAGGTGGTCACTAGCACTACAGCAGGTGGGAGCTCATCCAGGTGGGCAGTAATACTCATCCAGGTGGGCAGTAAGACTCATCCAGGTGAGCACTAAGACTCATCCAGGCGGGCAATAAGACTCATCCAGGTGGGCAGTAAGACTCATCCATGTGGGCAGTAAGACTCATCCATGTGGGCAGTAAGACTCATCCAGGTGAGCACTAAGATTCATCCAGGTGAACACTAAGACTCATCCAGGTGGGCACTAAGACTCATCCAGGCGGGCAGTAAGACTCATCCAAGTGAGCACTAAGACTCATCCAGGCGGGCAATAAGACTCATCCAGGCGGGCAGTAAGACTCATCCAGGTGGGCAGTAATACTCATCCAGGTGGGCAGTAAGACTCATCCAGGTGGGCAGTCTTATAAGACTCATCCAGGTGAGCACTAAGATTCATCCAGGTGAGCACTAAGACTCATCCAGGTGGGCACTAAGACTCATCCAGGCGGGCAATAAGACTCATCCAGGTGTTCATCACACTGCTGCAGGTGGGCACTACTCACAGATGAGGCCGGTGAGAGACTCTTATTTTATGGAATTGATGCTACTGTCCTGTTACTGTTGGTATTCTGTCCCAGGTTCTGCGCAATAATTATTATAATAATAATGATAATAATAATAATAATAATAATAATAATAATAATAATAATAATAATAATAGTAATAATAATAATAATAATAATAATAATAATAATAATAATAATAATAATAATAATAATAATAATATAATAATAATAATAATAATAATGAGAAAAATCCAGTGAGTTCCTTTAGTGTAACGGTTTAAAGGAGGACTGGGGTAGTTAAGGTAATGGGATCAGTATTGGGAAAGTGCTGTAGGGCGGCCAATTGTAAGACTAATTTAGTTGTAAAGCTTTAATAGACCTTACAACGCAATTGAAGAAATCGCCGAGTCCACTTAGAAACATCCTGCATAAGTGTAGACATTCTTCAAGGGACGTGGCCGCCGAGGCAAAAGGCAAATGGTTAGCGCTAACATGCCAGTCAGAGGCTGGACTATGGAGGACAGCTGGACTGAAGCAAGTCATGTAGTCGGACTTGCTTGGGCTGGTATGGCATACCGAGGCAGGTTCCTAAAACCTCAAGGCGGTGAACCTCAAGCCTAGTAAGACCTCACTGAGCGCAGTTTATTATCTGAGATGAGGTCCCACTCAGCTGGGATGTTATCCCGTGAGGTCCAACTCAGCTGACATGTTATCCCGTGAGGTCCCACTCAGCTGACATGTTATCCCGTGAGGTCCAACTCAGCTGACATGTTATCCCGTGAGGTCTCACTCAGCTGACATATTATCCGGTGAGGTCCCAGTCAGTAAATTTCTGGGTAATGAAATGTTGGTCCACAGACCTAGCATGAAGGTGACCGGCCTCCACAGGAACCCCACATCATGCCAACAGAATCAGTCTACTTGAAAACAGTGTCGTGCCTATGTCACCTATTGATGGAATCTAAGTATTCATCGATATATAAACTTTTGAGACTAACATCTTATGTCTTCAAATTTCTATAGATACAGAGAAGGAAAAGCCCAGAACGAGGATTCAAAATTCCTGTTTTAGAAAATGTTGTACAGCCTATACTAGTGCCCAAGAATCATTGGTTTACTAGGTTATTAACTGATAAGGCCGATCACCAAGTGTTGCATGGTGGAGTGCATGACACTACGTCAGATTCATCAGTCCTACTGGGTACCGCAAGGCAGACAGAGTGTAAAAACACAGCTGAGGTGCTGTGTGCATTGTTGGCATATTGACGGGAGTGCTTGTCATTATCCTGGACGCCACCTCCCCCCTCCTCTTACCTGACCAACAAGGTGAGGCATGTCGCCCCCTTTGAAGTCACGGGGTAGATTACACGGCCAATTATTCTGACTAAGGCAGCAGGCAAAGTCCCTCTTAAAGTTTATGTGTGCTTGTTCACCTGTATTACCACGAGGGCAGTACGTTAGAGGTCTCCACTGATATAACTTCTGAAGTCTTCATTAAGTTCTTCAGGAGATTTGCAGCTATAAGGTCATGTCCCAGGTTATTGATTTCAGATCACAGATCGAACTTTGTTGCTGGCGCTATTTACCTCGCCAAGATATTCAAGCAAGCAGACGTTGAACAAATGCTACAGCTGGAGATTCATACATCCCAGGGCTCTCCTGGCAGGGAAGAGTTTAGGAGAGGTTTATTGGCATCGTAAAACGATGTCTGAAAAAGATTCTCCATCGTAAACAGATTGATTTAGAAGAGTTCAGGACCATGGTGACTGAAGCTGAAAACAAAATTAATAACCGACTCTGATGTATGTCAGCGATGATCTAGAAAACGTAGAAGTGTTGAGTCTGTCTCTTTAGATACGTGAACGACGTCTTGAAGACAGTGATGCATTAGAAGATCCCAGCTTCCTTGAGCCCGACCAACTGAAACGCAAGCTCATGCACCTTAATTCTACCATTAAATACTGGAGAATTATCTTACATCACTAAGGGAACACTGCTATAACGCCGAGGCCCCCATTAATGACGTCTTATTGTAATAAGACGTCATTATATCCTGATGACATATTGATAATTGATGACGACTTTATGAGGTCTAGATGGCCACTAGGAAGGATTGTGGCCATGGAGCCTGATGGGTGTGGTACTATCAGTACAGTTGATATCATGAGCAAAGAGGAAGTCATACCAGAACCGTAGATAGTTTAGTACCCGCTTGAATAACACTGTCCCCTGAGGGAAATCATCACCGCTCAGATGACCTCGACAGTTGCTCAACGATATTACAAGACGGCAGACATAGCTAGCTAGTGTATCCGGGGGATCATGGACAGTGACCTTGTTTGGCAGGGTCAAACAGGCCTCCCTCCCCAGTAGGGAAAATCCAGTGGGGGGAGAGTTCAGAAGAGTGTTGTAGTGTGGCCAAGGTTCCACGATTCGTCCTTACAACCTTAATTGTGATGCTAATTTAGTTGTAAAGCCTTAATAGGCTAGTATTCAGTCTCCGGTGTAATTCTACTGTTGACTTTGACTAGGAACCTAAGTTAATTAGCTTAGTAACTTCTGTCTTTCGCAATAGGCCAACACAATTACACCTCAGGTGGCAGCTTGTAGAAAGCCGGACCTATTGGTGTCAGTCACTAAAAATCTCTTGAACGGTGAGGGACACCCTGACCTGGTCATGAACTGGATCACGGGGGCGTTGACCCCCAAACACCCTCCAGGTATACCTCGTAGCGCCGGGTGTAGTGACTCAATTTGAGTATTTCGCTGGATTCCTGAAGGACTTCGCCATGTAGCCTCAGTAGACCCAATACGGCGAGTTCTCATTATCAGTACTAGATACGTGCATACTATAAGTACAGTAATGTTAAGAAATGCCATGGGGAGGGTGCCCGTTCATGGCCTAGAACCTTCTGGAATAATGAGAATACCGCCTACACCTTGGTAATTTACTGCCCCTGTGTGCAGAGGTAAATACTGTGTTATCTTGGTATGGAATGGCAGGTGCTTAG